CCCCAAAACCCCAAAACCCCAAAACCCCAGATTTAGGATTTTTGGTTGAATAATCTCTATGATTTTTCAAAGAAACTTTTTCTATCCTTGGACTTGATCTGCCTGAGCCCTCTTTTGATCCTGAATTTTTTCATTAAATGAGGTTTTCTGAAATTATTAAGCCCTCTTATTCCAAAATCCTTCTGGCTTATTATCTTCTTTGTGTCAATGGAAATATTCTAAAATAGTCATTACTTTGCTGAATTGATAAATAAAATTCCCTTAATCACTATTTAAACCTATTCGGAGACCTATCAAGTCAGAAAGAATTCATTCTGTGCATCAGAATTAGTAAGGAAGCTAACATACAGGACTGGCTCAGGGAATTATTAAAGAAAGTTCCGATGCTCATTATTCTCTGTGGCTAGACTTCAATATTCTCAATTTCATCGAAAATACGATTTTTATAACTCCAGTTTAGAGAATGATACTAAATTTTTGGGCTTTATTGAATTACAAGTAAACGACACAGGTCTTTAAACCCTAGATTAATAATGCTTATGAGGAATTGTGTTCACTTTACACCACTGTTATGGAAAAGGGCAGCAAATAAGTGGATAGTTCTTTCTTAATATTGTAAGATATTTCAAAGAGAATGATGATATGAAAATTTAGAAAACATCAATGTGAGTAATTTCAGTCATTTTACCCTTTTTCGTAATTTTGATTTGCTATTTCAAGCTCAAGCTGATTCTTTTAAGCAGAAAATGTTTCTCCTTAGGTTTAGGCTTGTAAAAATGAGAGGTTCTGGTGATAGGCTTGATAATAACACCTATAGATCGAGGTTTCAAAGCTCTATAGTTTGGATTGTATCTATTAGCTCCAGGTACATCTATTTTCTCTGCCTAAGGTTTTAAAATTAGAAATACCATTGAAATTGATTGTAGTTTTTCTCTTGAGACAGAATTAAATGAGTATGAATTTGATTTCAAGTTTTTCATTTTATTTCTCACTATAGGTTAAACAGAAAAGTACCAATAGAACTTAATGAATATGGATCAGAATTTCCCTTATTTTTCAAATCTCTGAGCTTCATTGGACCATTAGTAGATGAGCTTTGTGATAGAGAATAGTCATTATTAGGAGTGAATCCTCCTAGTCCTTTCTTTATATCATCCAAATATCCACTATGAGAAGAACTTATTTGTTTAAATTGTGGAAGAATGCTTTCAGATTGAAATAGAGTTCAGAAAGAGTCATGCTTATTTCCTTTCCTGACTTCTATCAGTATCCTTAGATTGGTATTTATCTCTGCTCATTTTAAGTATATTAACTTCCTAAAGATAATAAAAATTCGAATTTACTGCATCTTGTTTTTCCTGAAGTGTTCGTTTCCGATTCACACTCTGGAATTGGTGCATCCAGGATAAATCATTTTGGAGCTAAAGGCTAACAATAGTAACATACCATAATATTGCCTATTCTCGAATGCTTAGTTTTCATTTTGGACTACTCGATTTAAGGCCAGGCTTACCACTAATCCTTCCAAATTTGTTTCAAAAAATTCCATAATTCAATTAACTTTATATTTTTAGGGGTTTTGGGGTTTTGGGGTTTTGGGG